ATACAAGCTTTTTTGCCGTTTCTTTTGCACGAAACTGCCCAAGATATGTTACCTACCTAAGAATATAGAAATGTAGTGCGTAACCTATTTATTTTATTTTATGTTTATGTTGTCCATAATTGTGTAAATTTGTGTATACATGTACCTGTAAAAATGAGTTAATAAATTTTAAAAACCAATAACTGATTTATACTTTTTTAATGTTACTCTTAAATAATTAGCCTTCCTTTTATATTTAAGAATTTTTGTAATTTTGAAGTCGCACAGATTTGGATAAAATATTTCTCATGTTCATGTTATGCCTACTTTAAAAACTAAAGGCAGACTGACATGCCAGGCTGACATGACTGCCTCACGGTAACTTCTTTCCGTTTGGTAAAAAGCATTTATTGTGTTGCAGTTGCAAGTCCGTATGTCATTTCACGATTGTGCCACTAATCGACCACGTGGGAGCTCGTGTTGCCTACACTGAAAATTGAAGGCAAACTTATATGCGGCGTTAAGTAACCTCTTTGAAACCTCTTGAACAAAAGTAGCTTTCCTACCGAATCCTACCGACAGGTTACTCTAACGCCATATCAGTTTGCCTTCAATTTTTAGTATTGGCAATACGAGCTCCCACGTGGTCGAATAGCGGCATCGCCCCCTTTATGATAGTCAGACGGGCTCGGTTGGCGTAATCGTCGTAGACACGATAGCAGAGAGAAAATGATGAGGGAAAGGAAGGAAGAGGAAATGAGGCAGGAGAAAAAAAATGAAGAGGAATTAAAGAGGAAAAAAGAGAAGAAGAGACAAAGAAAAAGAAAAAAACAGTAAAAACAACAAGAACAGAGGAACCAGGAAAATAAGAAAAAAGAATGAAGAATAAGAAGGAGGATGGAGAAAAAAGAAGACACAAGAAAGAAAATAAGGCAAGAAGAGAACAGGAAGAGTAGGACAAGGAAAAAATGAAGAAAAGTGGAAGAAGATGGAGAGGCGAAAGAGAGAGCCGGAGAAAAAAAGGAAGAAAAAGAGAAGAGAAGGATGAAGACAATATAATGAAGAAGGAGAAAAAAGGGAAGAAGAAAGAAAAAAAGGGAAGAGACTGAAGAAGAAGGAGGTGAAGAAAAGAGAGGTAGAAACATAGAACACAGAAGAAAACAAAATGAGAGAGAAGGAGAGAAGGAGAGAAGGAAAAAGACGAAAAAATGAGAAAGAAATGGAACTTAGGTAACATCGCGAAATTGAACACCCACTCGGAAAACATATAATAATAGGAGGTTTTTACCAAACGAGGATGGCAGATTACATCAACGCCATGACAGTTCTTTTTCAATTCAAGTATAAATAACACGAGCTCCCACGTGTTTGAATAGTGATTTTGTCGTGAAATGATACGCTTACCCGGACCGCAGTCGAAAATAGCATCTTACTCTAAGTCGGAAAAGGTTTCTTTAACGCCATGCCACGGAAAAAAATGACTGCGCGGATAACCATCTTGGTTTTGTTAATTAAAAGTTGGTGCCGTATACATGAAAAAATTGATAGAATAACCAACGGCATTGTTTTGTCCACAACGTCTTTAGGGAAATCAATCATTTTCAATTAGTTGCTACTAGCTATTACAAATCTGTTCATCGAGACAAAATTGATGGTAAACTGCTCCATCAAGTTGACTCATTGCACCAAAGAGTGCGCTCGCGCTTCACCTATCTTGTTTTTGGTTGATGCTACTCGGTTAAGTGGGCTCAATTAACTACAGAATGCGTTAGTGCAAATTATAAACTTGATGATTATGAAGGTCACCATCTCAGATAACTCAATCTGCCCCGTCAATTTTTTACGCTTTACCAACATTGAGTCACCAAAGAAAGCAATCAGATATGGGCTGATTAGGGAAAGTATGTTGATAAATTTTCAAGAATTCATATTCAACCCACCTTGTGTGACTGATAGGCATGTTCGTGGAGCGTACTCCTTTTCCCGTCCCTGGCTCGGGCGACGGTAAAGTCGCCGCAAAACTATATGACTTCGCGTAATTAATTATTCTTGACTCTGCTCAGTTTTAATGATAATGAAAGGGCATTTATTACAACAATTCAGAAACTCGGACGATGTTAAATTTTTCACTGATTAAAAAAAAAAACGAATTAAAACGAACTAAAATATTCATCAAAACCAAAAATTATTTCATTCTTAAAGTAAAGTATACCTCATATCGTAATTTTTAAGGGGAAAAATGAAACTAACACTGATAGGAGGTAAAAATAGGGCCTCGATGCGGCCCATTGATGGCGCGGAACGCATTCAGGGGGTTGGACCGCGTAGCGGTCGGGGGCATAGCCCCCTAGTATTTTACTATTTGCCCAGGCATTTGACAAAATGCCTAATTTTACTATTTGCCTGCGACATATCGATTGCAGTGTTTGATAATTTCTCCCCCCCCCCTCCCCTCGGCACCAAGTTTTACGAAAATCCGACGAGCAGAAACCGAGATGGCGTTTTAGGCCACGCCCGCCACCTTGGTTTTTCGAATTTTCGAAATTAGACTAAAAATTTGAATTTAATCGATGGAATGGGAGCCGATGTATCAATTTAGGCTACGTCCGCCGTCTTAAATTTTCAAATTCAGAAAATTCAACTTGAAACGCATCACACCCAAAATCTAAGCTCAGATTCGGCTTCCTCGTGAAAAATCGATGCTAGTTCATGTATTATATGTTACCATAGCATAAAGAAAAGAGGGTAATCGTAGGCGTAAAGATTCTATCAAAGCCGGCCGGTATGCGGAAGTAGGCACAGAATTCAAACGTTTGAGCTACGCCGCCAGGCGCCGGCGTCAAGCATTTGGTTCGTCCGTTTCCGAGAAAACAAACTTCTTCTTACTCATCAGCTGACCCACTCCGAATCACCCATGTTGCCACGTCGGACTGAAATGTTAGAATCTACACGCCTACGTTAATCTCTTTCCTTCATGATATGGTGACATATGATACATGAATTTGCATCGATTTTTCACGAGGAAGCCGAATCTGAGCTTAGATTTCGGATATTATGCGTTTTAAGTCAAATTTTCTTTTATCTATTTTAAATCACCCAGGAAAATTTGCGGAAACTCATTAGAATAACAGTGTGTATTCTTTTAAAAACATTGATCAAAAATAAAACAATGACGGTATTTGAATCCATCAATCTCCGAGATAACTTGAACACAGTTGTTCTACGACTTTTTACGTATGTTGTTTTCTTCCGCATTGGTTGTCGGCAGCGTAGCGACCAAAGGCCCCTGGTACTAATAATAGTTTTCAAAATCAATTTTTTTCTACATTCAAAATTCCAAGGAAATGGCAGAAATTGATCAATTGTTACTAATGTTTTAACAATGTTTCTTGTCAATTGTATGCTGTCGTTAAGCTAAACATCCCAGGTTTACCAGTAGGCTAGACATGCACTATATTTAACACCATGCCAAGGCTTCAGTATTTTAGAGGGGTAATTTTTTTATTTTCTATTCTACATAATCTCACTTGTTCAAGTAAGTAGCCTGGGCTTATTTGTCCAATGCTAGAAGCACTTTAGCCAATCATAAAAATAATCCTAGTTTGAAAATTTTTAATTAATTCTCGACATGAAAAGAAAAGAAGAAAAAATAGATAAATAAAATGCAGATATAAATAACAATGAAGAGATATTTAATGAAGTATAAAAATGAAAATGAAGTGACTGAATTAAAGTAAAAAAAACAAAAAATTGCAAGAAATAAAATAAAGTAATAAAGTAACGGTAAAATACAGGGAAGAAATAAAGAATAAATGGATAGCATTTTGCAATTCGGAACTATAGGCAGAACGGTAGGTTTTCAGGAGAGCAACTTTTGCAAAAACCATTGGCGTTTTTCATCAAAACGATCAATGTTGCGGTTTGATGGTTCATTTTATAGCTATGGAGTTCCTTTAACACCCTGTGTTGACAGATTCGTCAAAAACATCACACTGTTGCCAATAATTACAAAAAA